TCTTCCACTGTGCTCTGAGATAAAGGAGCTTGTGACAGTATTTCCAGGTAGATATTCTTCCTCAGTCATTTGTGTCATAGCAAATTGATAGTCAGAGTTCAGAAAGCCACACAACAGTGTGCAGAGGATAGGTTGCTCCCCCTGTTAAAAATCCCCTGGAACATGACAATGAATTGGATTTAATATAAGAGAATAAATATTACGAAATGAGAGAGATGTTGTCTATATATCAGAAAAGAAAGTATGTTATTATATTATTTGATTACAGCTTTTTTAAGTCTATGTTCCTACTGCGTTACACATACATGCATGAGAGGCAGAGCTAATGTAAGTTTGGAATTTCCAGTCCTGATGTTGTTTTGGTGTCTTACACATAGGAGTTGCAAACTTCATCGATGGGGGAAACTGAGCATAAGCCTTCTGGAACTGCAGACCTGTACAGTCAGGTGTACAAGATGCCACTGTCTTGTCTTCCAAAGATTAAGTGCAGAGAAGGACATAAAAAGCTCACTGACCACCTACTCTATCCTTCTGCTCCTTATGTTCACACCTTTAATTGCTGTTTGTCGCCTCAAATTAACAAAGACATGCTTACTTAGTCTGTGCAGTGAAGCAGTTGGCCAGGCATAGGACCACCTTCACATCTGATTAGTAGCAATTTTACCAAGTATTTACACTGCCACAACATGACATGCTGCAGAATGATTGTCGCAGACTTTTCGCTGCTTCCCATTCTGCAGTTCTGGGGGTATGGCCAAAGCCAGATTGTTTACCAGGACCCTGAATGTCGAAACGGTCTTCCAAGTTCTGCATGCTGGAACTGAACACCCCTCAAGCCCTCACGTCACACCCAGTTTCCTGACTGTGTGACAGATTCCAATACTTTCCATTTTCTGCTGAACGTATTGATCGATATTCAAATTTATCAAGTGTAATGGACTAATCAGCATCTTGCACATTGGACTGCATTTGCCTCACAATCTAGATAACACCTGCTTTTCCTTAGATACCCTCAATTCAAGAGGTGTAAATTTTCATTTGTGTATTTTTTCAGCTACTTACATATTCACTTAAATACTCACAGGGGACATCTTTTGCAGTTATCACTTTTAATACCTAATAAAATCCTGCTCCTGGTGCAAATTCAGAGTTCTTTCTTATGGGTCTGTCTGGAACGCATTCACAGACCCTTTCATACCTTCTATTACAAGTGTTGTTGAGTAAACTGCTGGCATTTTATTAACATAAGAAATTCTCTCACATTCTTTTTCACGCAGCTGTCTAACTGAGGATCTGGTAGCCAGTCTGAAGATATGTTTCATCCAGTTTGAAATTGTTTCAAATTGCAAGTTAAAACTGTTAAGTACACTTGATTTACAAACCAAGCCTTTGCTAGCCTTTGTTTTTCCCATACTGCTGGGTGATTTAGCCAGCTTTTGATTGCATTACTGTATTCTCCCTCGTAACACTGCCCTGCAGGTGGAATTAAATGGGATGTAGAGGTGATGGAAACGCAAACCTCACTCAAACTCTTAATTTTGATTAAATAAACACAATATCTAAGGTTTGTTTGGGTTTTTTAACTCACATTTATTCAAAAGCCCTGTCCAGCAAATATTTCACTCATTATTGTAAGGGATAATACAAATTTATTATGGGCTCTTAACTAAAATGAGTAGCAGCATGGGAGATTTAGCACCTGAGAGCTATTTCTTAGCTCCTAGCATTATCAATAGCACAAGAAAAATCCTGGACTTGCAGCCGGTATATTTATCGGTTTGCAATCTGACTTTTTATTCCTCCTGCTCCAACCTACTCATAATGATATACTTGATGACATTCAATCAAGATAGGGACTGTGGTATATATTATTGCGTGTTATAATTAATTTAATTTTGAAATAGTTTCATTGAGATTGCAAAGTCTTGTACTGGGCAGCTGTTATTGATTTAATCTTTTTAATTTTTTCTGAGAACAGACAAAAAATCTTTTCCTTCAATATCTTTTTTTACAAAAATAGTTTTTTCAAAACAGCTTGAAGTATTTTGTTTCATAAATTCCACTCTCAGTGAGAAGAGTACATGCCTTGCACAAGAACTACGACAAATGTATAGTATGGAAAATACTGAAACTCCAAATCGAAGGACTCTCGTGTAATCCAAATTATCCAGCTCATTAATTTAACACAGTTATGATGTTCCCTGCTTTGTAATACTTCGATATGTTAAAAGGATAAAGATACAGGATTCTCCCATTTCAGCAGCTTCTGAAGTAATCACTACGGATACAGAAGACTAAATTCAAAACCCGTCCCTTCAACGTGGTTTTCCAAAGCTAACAGTAACAAACCTCAGAATTTACAAACATGCATATGAAGTGAGGAGAAGGAATAGATGAAGGCTGTCATGGTCACTTTATGCAGTAACTGATGGGTGCTCAGGGACCCAGACTGTAAACTCTCAAGGCAGAAGATGCCTTGTTATTTCCAGCATCCCTCCCAAGAGTGCTGATCGTAAGCAGAGGCTGGATTCCACTACTCAACGAATTCCTAAGGACAAATTGACTTGCGCAAGCTGGGTAGATGAGACAGTGGTTGGTACTCCTTCCATCACGTCCAAGGGCAGAGTAAAGAAGGTGCAAGAGCAGCAGCTGTGGCTCACTCCCTCTCGGCTGCCCATGCTGCCACACCGGCCGACGAGGGAAAGGATTCACAGCTCAGGAGAGCATCATGCCTCACAACCGCTGGACGTATGAAACTAATACAAATCTCAGTTTGAATGAGCTTGGTTCCTCCTGAAAAAGTCCCCATGCCACCAGCGACTGTACGGACCCATGGGAAGTGCACGATGAAGCCTGCCCCAGCTGTGCAGGAGGGACCGAGCGGCACCCACCCCACAGGAGAGGGTCTGCTGTGCCTCCTCTCCTTTCCTCGGGGCAAAGGAGGGAAGCCATCAACCCACTGCCCATTTATCTATTGCATTTATTTCCTTCATCCCTAGGACAGCACCTGTTTCCAGGTGACTTTCAGAGCCTGGCCACCTCCAGCCGCACATTTCTGCCCCATTCCCAGCCCGGATCGCTGAAAGGGTTGCGACTGGGGCACAGAGGGGGTGCCATGTGGGACAACAAGGACAACATCTGACCAGAATAACACCTTCCGGCAGTTTTTGGCATGAGGGCTAGCCCCCGGACGTCTCCCGGCCAGAAACGGGGCGCGTTTCCCCCCAGCAGCCACGGAGGTGCCGGGTATCTGCCGGGGGCCGGCGGGGAGCGCCGGGAAGAGCCCGCCGCGCCCCCGCGCCCGCTCCCGGACCCATCCCCGGTTCCCCCTCACCTTGTAGACGTTGATGGGGATGTCGATGATGATGTGGAGCAGGTCGCCCAGAGCCAGGCTGGCGATGAGGATGTTGGGGCCGTTCCTCATGCACTTGTTCTTGTAGATGATCCGCAGCAGCGTGGAGTTGCCGATGATGCCCAGGACGAAGACGAGGCAGGACACCACCGTGTTGATGTACTTGAAAGTCTCCTTGATCTCCGTCTGCCCCGTGCACATGGGGGGCGAGGCCGAGCGCGGCCGCCCGCC